TATTAAGGTTAATAGAACAGACTTCTGAAAGCACAAGGTTTGATAACGTCAGGCATTTTGTGAGACTGTTACATGGAAAAGTATTAAGACTTTGAATTTGGCTAATCTTATTTTGTGTCAGTATGCTTTGTGTAATATCATTATAGCACATCCAAGAGCTCATGACTGGAATGAGAGGTAGGAGTTCTTTGAGTTTTATGGAGTCTTCAGTATCATTCAGTACAGAGAAGTGCAAAGACTGGCTCATCGGGTAGAGTGAATGAATGAATGAAAAGAACGGTGTAGAAAAATGGGAACTGGTGGCAACTTGAGAGCAGTGTCTTCTCTAAAGACTTTCAAGGACAAAAAGACAAAATCAAAAAACCCTGTGTAGTATTGCTGTGGGTTGTGTCTGTTCTGGGAGTGACTAGTGGGGACCCCTAATCTTACCTAATCTTCCTCTTTTTATTCCAGGTGAGGAAAGGGTACCAAAAGTCACAAAGCAAAGTGTGTGAGATAATGAAAGGTGTAAGTGTGTGCATATATATCAAAAACACACCATATTTAATGAAAGAAATTAATATTCACACATTTGTACTTCTGTACAATTTTGAGTAATATATAATTTTAAGCTGTTTACAAATAGCATGTAATGCTTTCAAATATTACATAATGTTGATAATACATTTCTAGCAGAAATAAATATATTGCACTTAAAAAGAACTTCATTAGATGTTACTTCATAGTATTAGGCTTATAACTTCTTTTTTCATAAAACATTTCCCATGCCCTTCCCCCCACCCCCAACACACACACTTCATTACAGTGACTGTTCTCACGCAATTCATTAAGCAAATAAACACAGCAAACAATAAAACTATGATAGAGTCTACTAAAGAGGCTAGATCAAATTTTATCCTTTAGGAAATGAAAGATTTTCTTTTAGGTTTCTTAAACTAAGAAAAGCAACAACTAAATATAGTATTTTAAAGTACCAGAAGTAAAATACAAGTTGTATTTTTTGTCCAGATGTACTATTCACCAAAATGTTTTTATTTTCTTATTATGGGGAGGGGGGATTAGAATTATCTAAGGGAGAAACAGAGAAATAAAGACCAAAAAATACTTAATGGTCTATCAAACATTAATAAATGAACATATTTAAGCATGATGAAGAAAGCTAAGTACTGGAATATTTTATAACTGACATGGGATAGTAGTGACAAAAGGATCTTATGATTTCCTAAAATTTTAAATGTTTTAACCTTCCCTTTGCTTGTTTACATAAAAATCATTATTCCAAAATAATTTAAAAATTTATAAAAATGCATCCTCCACCCAAGCCCAGCTCTCTAAGGGAAGTAGCTGAAACTCTTTTCTGTCCAGTGCTTTATTTCTGTCCAGTCTAGATGTAGAGTATGATATTGTTTTGTTTGTAGTAATTATCAATTCCATACACATTTAATAATGAAAAGTTTTCCTTAGTCAATGCAAAATTGAGTAAAAATATTTTTCTTGTCATATTTGATTCTGCACATTATACAACTGACATTTTGAACTTTAGTTACTAAGTCATGGTTTGAGTTTGACCATGTTTTCAATGGGGTGGTCAAGTCAATGTTTATTTTATTTGAAGTTCATTTTTCTCAATATTATTCAGCTTAAATATAAGCAGGACAGCCTGAAAAGCTAATGTGAAATCCAGAACTGGGATAAATATCCTAATATCTCTGTGAAAAATTTTTAGTCTGTATGAATAGGCAGATGCTTTGCTGCTAAGGATACTTATTGTTGGGCTTTTGAGGTTTCCATTTTACCCCCCAGGATAGGCACTGTGACTTGAGAAGTGCAATGACAAAGATACAGATAATAGTGGAGGGAGACGGTTTTGGAATATCTCACAAGTCAGTGTGACTCCTGCACAGGGTATTTACTAGATGATACATCATCATCAGGAAACTTAACATCTCCTACTCTGTGCCCACCTACTAGAAATGATGGTTGACCTTTCAGACAATATACCATCCCTATAAATCCGCAGTGTAATACAAGTTCATTAATGTAGACCTTGTTACCTAATAATTTGCAATATGTTAGACACAAGCTGGATAGGCTTACCTTTATACTGCTAAGGGTGGGCAAGGGGTGGGGGGTAGATTTACTAAGTAAAAGAAATAAAGAGCTTACTCAGAATTATTGATAAATGTTTTAAAAACATATTACATATGTAGAATCTACTAAGTTATGAATTAATTCTTTTGGGTTAGATAAAGCCATTCAGGCAGAGCTGCTCTTTAGCAGCGCTACACATTACCCAAGCTTTTTGATACTGTAATATAGCTGGGGGAACCCTGAATTTATTCCAAATACACCGTAAATCATGCTCTTTATCATTCAATTGCCTTTCTCACTAATTATCTAGTTCTTGCAATTGCTTTTGATAAAACAGACTTTATAGAGTTTTAAATGTTAAATACCCAAAGAGTTAAATAATAAACAAATAGAATAGCTCAGAAGGACCCTTGTGGGGCAAACATCTATCTCTAGTTCCCATGACTAGTGACTGATCAGGTTAAGCTCCATTTCACTTGTGCTTTGACTTTCTTGTTCAAATAATGCTAAGTACTTTTTAAAAAAGTATCTGATTTAGAATTTCAGGTGTGATTTTCCAAGAGCATGCTTTGGTGTCTTTGTCTCTGCTTTTTTGTAAGTATGCTACTTATTTTTAGTCTTATATTGATTAATTACAAAATAAAGTATGAATTCAGGACTTACTATCATAAAACAATATTTAACAAAAATATACAAATCTACTTTAAGACACACCAATTGGGAAAAAAATGTCAAAATAGTATTAAAATGATCCTTTCATTCTCCTTGAAAAGAAAATTCAGATATGGGTTCACTTTAGTAGACCAGTCATTTATTAGAGTATTAAGTAGCATCATATAAAATAGTATTTACTTTTGTTATTCCTGCTTTAAGTAGTAGTACTCTATATTAAAAGCACTGACAAACAGGCCAACTATTAAATAGTAAATCCTCATCCTAAGCTCTGTGGATATTTACTTTAAACATTATGCATAACTAACTTTTTAAAGAAATGCACATCTGAGCTATGTTTGAAAGCAAACTGCCTGTGGATACTAGGGCATAACATGCAAGAAGTTAGAAACAAGCTTACAGTGTCTGCCATAGGGCTTTGAGATGTTTAGTTAATGTAGCTTCTTGTAAACCTTGGGATACAGTGGAGAAAGGCAATTGCAAGGTCCAACAGTAGCATCAGTTAGACAGGCTGTGCCAATTATACCTTGTTTCATAGGCTGGAAATGCCCAAGAAAGGCATTTAATATGGAAAAGCCTAACATTAAAACAACCAAATAAAACCCCACTTGAGTTTGATATGATAAATATATTACATTTTACTTCCAAATACACCTCTACTCTCAGCAGCAAGATTTCCCATCTCTTTGAACAGATTCAGTACTTTCATAGTTAGAACAAAGTAGAATGGATATTACATTAAAAAAAGAGTATTGGGGAGCTTTGTGAAGAAGACAGGTTAAATACTGTATCTAGAGTGCATTATATCTACAGTTGAAGGACTACAAACTTCATTAAACCTCTGTTATTAGGGAAATGAGCTGTTGCAAAATGCCAAATATACTACCCTGATTGTAAATGCCTACATATATATGACTCCAAAATAATACAAACATAACTATGATATAGTTAAACTATTATAAATATCAAAATAAGGCTTAAGATAGCAAGAGTTGAAAATAAAGTGGATAAATTCTTTAGATTTACTTATAAGCACTTTTAACGTTTCAGTCAGGGTATCATTGTGTTAGCATGCAATTTCATATTATGGACCTAGAAGAATGATTGAGTCACTGAATGTAACACAGTGAGAAAAAAGAACCAATCAGATATATGAACATATATATTCATGACCATGGGTTAAGTGATTAAGTAGTGGCTATATGGGCATTGAGAATGGTCATTCATAAAACTTGTCATTCAGTGGCAGTGGCTGATCAAACCACAAAGCAGATTTACTGAAAATGAGAATTTTATCTGCTGCATTTTAACATCCATAAGGTCTTCCAAGGGGCTTCCCTCGTGGCTCAGTGGAAAAGAATCTGCCTGCAATGCAGGAGATGCGGGTTCGATCCCTGGGTTGGGAAGATGCCCTGGAGAAGGAAATGACAACCCACTCCAGTATTCTTGCCCGAAAATCCCATGGACAGAGGAGCCTGGCAGGGTACAGCCTATGGGGTCACAAAAGAGTCGGATACAACTTAGTGACTAAACAACAACAAAGGTCTCTCAAAGCTGAAGTAAAAATGAAGGGGACTTTAGTACTCATGGCAGAAAAATTCCTTTCAGAATAGGGCAACCATCTTTTTATTATAGCTGTTAAGTGAAAGAAGGTCTCACATGTCAAGGTGTAGAGACTTTAGAGTGTCCCTCAGTGAATAAGTAAGCGGTATATTTACAATGCAGTCTAGAAAAAGAAAACCTCAGTTTTACAATGTAACATATAGAGCCTCTTATTTCACAATTGTATATGGAAAATTTTTCCTACATAAATGGCAAATAATTGCAAGAAACAGAATTAGGAAGAAAGACAAGACTGTGAAAAAGAACTTGTCAGGTACTGGCCCTTCAATATTATAGAAAGAACTTTGTGAAGTCATTACCACCTATTCATCCACAAAATAGGATGCATTAGCATTATTATCTTAGCTCCTTCTCCAGCAAACTAACACAAAGGAAAACTAAACATGCTTGAGCTACAGCACTATAAATATTTCTCTATTGGCTCTCATTTCCACAGACAGAATGGACTTAAGTTAGTCATTATGCATCATGGTCAGTATGTTATACAGTATTGCCTCTTTGAAGATTCTTTTAACCTGTGGAAACTGGAAAGAAAACCTATACATGTTGACTTTATACATTACTGCATTGACACAGCATTTTTAACCACTAGGAATAATGCACCTTAAGATTCATCTGCCTTGTATTATTAAACTTTCTGGGTAAATTGATAATCCTTTTAGTTCCAGGACTTAGGCTGGCTAAGAACTTTACACTGATTCTCTCTCAAACTCAAAAGCTGTCCCCCAGCTACAGATGAAGCCTGGTCCATGGTGCTTTCCCTCAGTGGTAGGTTTTATTGTTGAGTCCAGCTCTCCTCTTTCATAGGTCCCATGTCTCCTGGAGAGCCCCTGCTCCAACATCCCACATCCCACCCACCCATCCCTGTCCTATATTTCCATACCCATCTGCACATTCTGGATCTGGACTCTCCTATACTTAGAAGAGTCATACAAATGGCGTCATCACAGCAGAAGAATGGCGCAGTCCTTGGATAGCAGCATATGGCCCCTGCTGAAAGTAGTGATGATATCGGGGCATGTGGAATGAGGGGAATGTTGGGCCACTCCCCTGCATGGAGCTGGCAATGGCTGATGGGGTCAGAGGCATCCCAAGTCGGCTATATGGTGGCAGAGAGCCCTGTATGGGGTGAGGAATGGGTGTTGCTATGGATGCCGTGCTGGTGCCGAGAGCAGTCAGGGACTGTGGGTGCTGAAATGCAGGAAAACTGGATGAAGACGATACCCAGGAGCTAAGAGACAAATTATCAGATGTTGTAAAGGCTGATCCTGAAAGAAAAAAAAATCTCATTAGACGAGAAACTCTACTTCAACATGCTAATCAAGAATTACATTATCTGTAAGCGTCAATTTAAAAAAATACATATATATATAGATATAGATCTATAGTTTTAAAGAGAAACAGTTCAATCAGGAGGCATCTCTACCTTTCCACACAAGAGGATATCATTTATACCATATATGGAAGAGAAAATTTGATAAATAGAAAAAGACCTACTCATTAGATTGCGACAGCGCTATTAGAGTGGCTACAGCGCTATTAGAGTGGCTACAGCGCTAGCACCCTGCCTTAAGATAATGACCTGATTCCCTTTAAAGAAGTTCCAAATAGCTGATCACTGTCGTAACCTCCAGCATCCGCATAAGTAAGGCTGGACAGATAAGCCTCAACAAAGCTACCTGGTTGCCAAAGCCATTTTGAAAACCCACAAGAGTGTTTTTCTTTTCTTCTTTAATTTTTTTTTTAGCTTCTATAACCCTTTTCTTTTTGAAATAATGAGAATATTTACTATGTTGATTATATTTAAGACAGATACACAAAAATCAAACATTTTAATGTGCCAGCTATACCCAGAAGTTGAAATGTGGGAATAATAAACACTACCAAAAATAAACAATAAATACTTAGAAATGACTCTAAAAAATGCATGATACTTACTCGAAGTTTTTCACACAACTCTACTGAAAGATGGAAGGAAAGGTTTTAATAATTGGAGATACATGACATATTCTCGGGTGAAAAATAAAATGTCTTTTTAAAATTCATTTATTCCCAAATTAATTTATTGGTTTAGTATAAAGCCAATGAATGGCTTCCCTGGTGGCTCAGATGGTAAAGAATCTGTCAGCAATGCAGGTGACCTGAGTTCAATCCCTGGGTTGGGAAGATCCCCTGGAGAAGTAAATGGCGACCCACTCCGGTATACTTGCCTGGAGAATTCCATGGACAGAGGAGCCTGGTGGGTTACAGTCCATAGGATCACAAAGAGTCAAACACAACTGTGTGACTAACACCTTAACTTTCAAAGCCAATGAAATGCCAAACGTTTTTCCACGTTCAATTCAATTTGCAAAATTATCAGGACAAATAATGTTTAGAATATTAAGATATTTTTAATTGTAACAAGGATAGATTTTTCCCTACCAGATATAAAAACACGTTATCATGTTTTAAAAACAAAATACTGTGTTTATGAAAATAGCATAGTACTGAGCAAGATTAGAAGCCACATCAATAGAAAATAACAAACTGTCACAATATAATATATACATGCATACTGTATTATCATATACTTAGTATATATAGGAGGGGGGCTTCCAGGTGATGCAGTGATAAAGAATCTGCCTGCCAATGTAGGAGATAAAAGAAATGTGGGTTTGATCCCTGGGTTGGGAAATGTCCTGGAGTAGGAAATGGCAACCCACTCCAGTATTCTTGCTTGGAAAATCCCATGGACAGAGGAGCCTATGGGCTGTATGTAATCCATGGGGTCACAAAGAGTCGGACATGACTGAGGGACTAACAAACATTCAAAGCCTGAGCACACATGCACATCATTACAGACTATGAGGAATGACAGCTTAGTTTCCATAATTGTTTATTAGCTAATTAACAAGTTGCAAGAGTAAGTTTTTCTTATATCACAATATCCAGAAGTTTAAACAAAGGTTGACAGTGAATTTTCCAACTGCATAATTACTAGTAGCTCATTTGGATTTATTTACAAGAGATGTCATATGTTCTGTCTGTTTATGCTATTACTTATCATGGACATAAAAATATGTCCATATAAGACTCTCCCTATACACACATCCCTGTGCCTAGGCACCCTCTCGTCTCTTTTGTCTGAAGTCCCAGATGCAAAGGGCTCCTCCCTTAACATCTGCAACAGAGGAACTTTTTAATACTCCCGGACTCTCACCACCCAGGACACCACCTCCACACAACATGCTCCACTAGGAGAATCTTCATTTTTCAAATATTTTCCATTCTAATTATTGATCCTAATAAGATATTCCTGATAGAAGTAAAACATATATATTCCCTGATTCTCAGATTGTAAAACAGATTCAGAAAGACTAAGAAACTACCCCTCAAATCCACTAGTTCTTTGGTAGTAGGTAACAGAGAAATCGGAGAAAGCAATGGCACCCCACCCCACTACTCTTGCCTGGAAAATCCCATGGACGGAGGAGCCTGGTAGGCTGCAGTCCATAGGTTCATGAAGAGTCGGATACAACTAAGCGACTTCACTTTCACTTTTCACTTTCATGCATTGGAAAAGGAAATGGCAACCCACTCCAGTGCTCTTGCCTGGAGAATCCCAGGGACAGAGGAGCCTAGTGGGCGCACAGAGTCGGACATTGACTAAAGCGACTTAGCAGCAGCAGCAACAGAGAAATAACTCCTAAGCCCTGACTCAGAGGCTCAGTGTCCTTTTACTGGAAAACAAGCCACAGGAAAGCTTCAGGCAGCATAATCACTTAAGAGGTAAAGGCAAAATAATGATCAGCCTCAGGCTATCCCTTCCTGAAGAGGCTCCTGAAATACTTTGGGGCCATCTCTCTTCTGAGGACTAGAAGTCTCATCACCTCCCTGTCTTTGTTCTCCATTGGGCACTCTTGCTCTGAGCACTTGCATAGCCTGGAAGCAGTCTTACCTCGATTTTGTGTTGTCTGAACCTCATCCCCCAGCACATCCTCTTCTCCTCCATAGGTACGGATGGGTGAGCGGGCATAGGAATGCTTTTGAATCAGGCTCTCCACACTTTCCCTAGGTTAGAGAATGACACATGGTGAGTAAACCAAAAAGTTAAGTAATCAGAGGAGAGGAGTCTTAAAAATGATTTACTAGTCAGTAAAACCATTTTCATGCGAAGAGTTGACTCATTGGAAAAGACCCTGATCCTGGGAGGGATTGGGGGCAGGAGGAGAAGGGGATGACAGAAGATGAGATGGCTGGATGTCATCACCGATTTGATGGACATGAGTTTGAGTAAACTCTGGGAGTTGGTGATGGACAGGGAGGCCTGGCGTGCTGCGATTCATGGGGTCACAAAGAGTCGGACACGACTGAGCAACTGAACTGACCTGAAAACCATTTTCTCAAAAAACCACCACTTCAGAGGCAGACAACATTCAAAACATACACATTTCATTGTAGACGCCTCAGAAACATGACCTCAAGCATACAAATATGAGAAACTTTGAATTTGTTTCTTATAAATACAAAGAAACAAATAGGACAGGATATGGACAGTCCCCCAAAATTCTACAAAATTAGGGGCAAATGTGAACAAGGAGCTATAAAACATAACCGTAGGAATATAGAGTTTAATGATGTTTAAAAAAAAAAACAATGAATTTACCACAAGGAGCTGCAGCCCTGTGACTTTATCAGCTAATGAACACAAAACCCTCACCTGATATGAACGGCATTAATTGAACATCTGATGAAATACTGGCCCATAGTTCAAAATATCATTAGTCATACAAAGACTCCGTGTTTACTAATAAAACCAGTAAGTGCATAGAGTATATGATAATTGCTGAGTCACTTACTCAAGGTCTTAATTCACTATAATATTAGAGCATGACTGTCCTTCTGGGTAACTTGGGTCATTAAGAAAAAAGTCAATTGAGATGCACAAACTTTAATAAAATGACAGCTATAATATTCAAGCTGGTAAATCTGATTAATCTAATTCAAGCTTTTAATCTAAGCCATGTGTCATACTGTTACTATTTAAAATGAATTTAGGAAAGAATTAGTTATTTTCACATGAGAAAAGAACTTGCTTCAGATACCCTTGAAGACAGCTTCTCTTTATAAAGTTATAAAGGCTTGGCCATCAGTGGGCTGAAATCATGGATGATGTATTTCTAAAGTGCATTCCACTGCCCATCCTAGGCATTTAGGCTGTTCTCTCTCAGCATTTAAGTTCAAAAGCAGAGTGTAGTATCTGCCTCTCTAAAAATGCCCTAATATAAAATTATTTAAACCTTTTTCACATACACCCAAGAAGAATTCTTTAAATAATATAATAAATCATGGCTTTGTGAAATATTTTGCTTCTCTATAAGAAGTATATTATATTCATTTTTTCCTTGGAAAATCACTGGTATCATTACTTATTCTCATCTCTAAGAGGGAGAAAAAAAAGGATTTTATTGAAGTGATTTATTTGTGTCAGGCCTGAAAGTGAACTGAAAGCAATGGCAGTTCTTATATAAAGGATGGCATAATTAAATTATTGCCTTTTAAGTGATTGAAAACAGTGGTGCAAATCAGGGCCATCTCTTCGAAGATGTTGCAAAGAATAGACAGCCCATGTTGTTTACTTTATGTCTAATCCCTGTTTCCAGTAGGATGAAAAGTGCAAAGAATTTGTTTAGCCTGGAAGACTATTGTGAGGATTTCTAGACTACTGTGCTCTGGAAAATAAGGGATGACTCATTTAATGAGTTAAGCGATTTAGGTATTACAAGCTAGGACAGTGCCTTGTAATGCTCAGTTCTGTTATATCCCAAAGCAAGAAACAGTAGTTACTTTGGATTTTAATAGATAAATAAACTGGGTAACATTATTGAAGGTTGACTTTTCAATATCTAACACTAATTTTTCCAGGCAAAAAGAATACATCATTATCTTAGGTATCTTTAAGAGATCTCTTCTGACTAATACGTAAGCATCAATTCCAAGAATAATATACACGTGAAGGACACAATCATAGCCAGAAGGTGGGCAAGATAATAGGATAACTGCAGTTATTATGTTGATTCTGCAAAAATGCTCCAGAAATACTAGAAGTCATCTGAACTATTTGTTCAAACTCCAGATAAGCAAAACCAACATACTCTCATCAGTATTGTGAGTTGACTGCCCTTCCTTTATCTCTGAAACTTCACTACAAATTTCTTAATGCTCAAAATGCAAAATCTTCCCTTTTCCTTCACACTCTTCTTTGCACCACTGCTGTACCTAATATATTCCTCTTTAAATGCATATACTAGATGGATGGCAATTATGTGTTTGCATGATCATCTCTACCACTACACTGTTGGCCACTGATTGAGGGAGAGAACAATGCTTTATCTAGGCAGTGGTTCTCAAACTTTAGTGTTTTATGAACTGTTTATGTCCCCCAAATTCTTGTTGAAATCTTAATCCCCATTGTGATGATTTTAGGATGTGCATTCTTTAGTAGACAATTAGGTCTTAAGGGTGAAGCCCTCATGATGGGATTAGTACCCTTGTAAGAAAAGAAAAGAGTTTGCTTTAGCTTTCTTTTCCTCAGCCATGTGAGGACACAGTGAGAAGATAGCTGTCTGTGAACCAGAAAGCAGGTCCTCGTGAAAAACTGAAATCTGCCAGCTCATTGATCTTAGACTCCCAGCTGTGAGAAATAAATGTCTGTTGTTTAAATCACTCACAGTCTAGGGAATTTTTGTTATAGTAGCCCAACCAGACTAAGACATTGTTCATCAAAATTACCCAGAGGGCTGGCCAAAACACAGATTTTGGGACCCCACCCTCGAGTTTTTGATTTAGTAAGTCCAAGGTATGACCTGAGAATATGATTTCCAGTGTGTTTTCAGGTAACACTGATGCTGCTGATACGGAGGTCACACTTGGAGAACCACCACCCTAGTGTAGTAGTTACTGGAACCTGCTTAGCTCAAATCCTAGTCCTGCCACTTGTTTTGTGTGCCTTTGGGCAAATCACTTCACTTCTCTGTGCCTCAGTTTTGTTATCTGCAACATGAGGATATTAGGTCTTAGAATTATTATTAATTCTAATGGGAGGGAGGTCTGGGAGGGAGGGGACATGGGTGTGCCTATGGCTGATTCTTATTGATGTATGACAAAATCACAAAATTCTGTAAAGTAATTATCCTTCAATTAAAAAATTTAAAAAAAATCTCACTAGGATTACGTGATACAGGCTTTAGACATTAGTCATCCTTGTTACTCATTTCACTTTTGTTAAGCAGTGCAAGTAATTCATTTTCTATTCACTGGAAACTTCTCACCAATTATCTTTTGTAATTGTTGTGTTGGTTGTAATTGTTGTGTTGGTTGTAACAGAGATGTGAAGGATTTGGTATATTTAATTAAATCAATACTAGACTGAACTCAAAGAATTAACAAAATAATATAACTTGAAAAAAATATTGAATGAGTTAAACACACAGAGTTTATATTGGCATTTGGCATATAATAAGTGCTTAGTAATGTTTATAGGTAACAAAATTAAGTTACTATTAAGTATCAAAATCATATTCCTAAAGCTGGCTACATAATCATAATCATTTTAAATTAAATTGAGACTTCTAGTTGCTATAACATGCTATTCTTCATTTAAACCACCCTATAATATATATGGGGTCGCACAGAGTCGGACACGACTGAAGCGACTTAGCAGCAGCAGCAGCAGCATAATATATATGTCACAGAGGAAATTAAGTAAAAATTAAATGTTATTTCAATTTACATCCTAACTTTCTCTCTTTCTAAATATAGACCTAGAAAAAAGCTGCATTCAGGGATAAAATGTCAGATTCATTAAAATCAAATCCAATTTGTAGGAAACAAAATATTTAAAGTTATCCTTGCTTATCAGTTTTCTCCTGTTTATATCATGTCTTACTGAGCCTTTATAAATAACTTCTTGTCACAATATTTTTCTAAAGATTTATGCAGATAATGTTATAAATTACCATTAGATAATATATCAATATTTGTTGCTTCCACAAAGTACTTAATAAATGAAAACTTTAGATAATATAATTGGAGATGTATTATAAATCATTAATTTTGAGAACAGAAATACACACAATGTATTTTGGAAAAACAAAGTAACTCTAATCTTTTTAAAAGCTCTTTCAGATTTTAGTTTATTTTTATTTATTTGACTTAATCTTACTAATTTTTCTTTTCAATAGTAATCTGCGTTTCTGGTTTTATATCATTATTAGCAACTTAAGTAAACTGTACAACTGTGGGGGAAGAAATAGTTCCCTAAGTCTAACCTTTGTGACTAGAACAAAGGTCCCAACCAAAGTACAGATTATGCAGCCTCTAAAAATAAACTTTAGTGAATTGTGAGGTAGGGAACAAATATCCTTCTTACAGATAGAAAGACACAAGCAAGAAAAAAAGAATAAATTACAACCATGAATCAACCATGAATAACTTTGGTACTCTATCAAATTCACTGGTTTGTTTGACACTGTTTTGTAATATAAATGTTTCCTCTTAGAAGCTGTGAATAAATGAGTAACATTCTAAATGCAGGAACATAGATTGCTAGTTAAAAAAGTTTTGTTGTAACTACTTGTCATTCTGTTAAAAAGTCATCTTTTCTTTTTTGTGGTTATTGTCATCAGACTATTTCAATTTATTACACTAATAGATTTTATTTAAAAGCAGGCCTTAACCTGGCTACCAAACAAAATAACTTTCATTTTATACATACATAGTCTCTTACACTAACTCTGTCTTTATTGAAGATGATGAAAAAGAAGTTTCTTCAGTAAGAAGCTGTATAGTCAGCTTCCTTATCTGAGTCTGGTCTCTGCTTCCTCCCATTTAATGACGGGTTAGCAGGGAAATGGTGGGCTGGGTAGATGATCTCTAAGATCTAACAATTTATGAACCTACAAATATATAAATAGAAGTAAATTTTTTAAAAGAGTCATTTTGAGAAAGTCCAAGACTAATTGCAAAGAACCCTGAGTTCTAACCCCAGATCTTCTACTGACGAATTGTGT